GGTGGCCGCAGCAGGTGAACGGCGGTGTGCGGCGGCCGCACACGGTTCGGCCCGATACAGTCGTGGAGGGAGTGCGAAATCACGCTGACGCTGTGAGTGGCGCGCATCACGTCGTCGTGCTTGAAGCGCTGGAACGTACCGATCGAACGTGTCATCGGAGGACGCGAGTGAACGCCGGGTGAAGTAAAAGAGGAGAAGTTTATCCTCCGGAGGAAGGGTGAGAAAGTTTGCTGAAGGTCTTCCGAGGGGGTGGAAAAAGAATCGGTAAAGAGAAACTTGGGGGGTAGCGCGAAAAAGGAAAACAAACGGAGGGGTTGACGCGACGAGGAAAAAAGTCGGTGGAAGAGAGAGGAAAAACGATGTGAAGAATGAACAAAGTGGTAGATCAACAGAAGAAGAAAAAGAAGTAAAGAAGTGCGAAAGGATATTGGAGTAGTATTGATACGCGCGTTTCGGTACTGGATACTGCCAACAGATTGACGTTGTGATTCTGCGACGAGGAATTACTGAGCGCGGTGCGCCGATCACGCTCGATCACTTTGATTTCCATGATCGCGATCCACCATCCGGTTTAAATCCAATCTCCAAGGAGAATTTCCGTAAGTTTAAGGATTCAGCGCAGTCTTCTTCAACGCTGTGTGTCGCTTGCGCGTCGCGAAATTGTCGATCTCAGCGTTTAGAGATCGCTCGCTCGCGATCCGTCCGAACGATCGTTTCTCATCTCTGGAAATTTATCTTGAAAAAAAGGAGGATGCGCGGATATTGTATATGCGATAGTCGGCAGATGCGCCGTCCGGGCTTCGGACTCAACTAAAGATCTTCCGAGGAGGAAAGAAAGAAATCTACCGTTGGATCAGTGTGCGTTCAGACAGTGCGGGTGGATGTATGACGACAACAACGTTCGTTCCCTGGTGATCGGTGTTGCTATGATCGTGCCGCGTTGGTCCTGTCACGTGGAACGATCATGATTTACTTTAGGCCGCACGACGGTAGGAGTCTACGGTACAACGCGAACGCGAGACACTTGAACGTGCTCGTCGTGCCGCTCTTTCCGCTCTGGATTATCGGCGCGTTCTGCGTGAAGGACAGTAAGTGGCTGTTGAATTTCGTTGTTGTATTTTATCGTATTTGCACGAGCTTTCGAAGGTCGAGCAGCGGATCTATTTGGTTTTCGCTTTTTGATAGTTCTATCGACCATTTCCAGCTATCTGTTTATCAAATGTGAACGAGAGTTAGTCGGAAGTTTTGAGGAGCAAAAGTTAAATGAGTGATTTGAAGGAGTATTTTGTGAAATTAGTTTCGTAAGATCAACTTACGCCTAATATTATAAGTTGAAAAAAATTAAATCGAGGGAATATTCGATCTATTTTTTCCTTTGTTAAAAAAAAGCAACGAAATAATTTTCGAAAGTGTTGTTAAATATTCTTTGGATATCAAATAGCATACTTTTTTAGATACAATTTAATTACATAAAATCACATTTTATACTTATATTTGATATTACACTGAACTTCTGATTGAAAATCACGTTGTAATCTTCTGCAATATTTCATCCATTTTCGATCAAACGCGTTTTCGGAATTATAATTTCACCACGTAACTCTTTTCGGCTATATCGGTTTAATTACGACGTGCGAATGACCGATTTTGCGCATCGCGGCGGTCCGAACTGGCTTATAACGAATATTTTAACACTGATGGATCAAAGGCAACTCCTCTCTTTGACGATAGTTTCGGACGCTGCTTGTAGAGCCGTCAATGGTCCGGTGTTTGCATATCGGTGACACTGCGGCTCGTTTACCGCCACTTACTTCGCCCCCGTCGGTCATCCGCAAATACGGTTGCGCGACATACGTTGCTGAGAGCCGTCCTCGTTTGCGTTGTCGAAAGCGCCCTTCGAAAGCCTCTCGAAAGCGGAACATGTTGACTAATTATTACGCGAGGTGGAATAGTCCGGATGACACAAACGAAAAAAAAAGAGATCCATCAAAAAGCGACAACGAATTGCGTAACGAGTTGCGCCGAGCGGAGCGCAGCAATTCCGGACTGCGACGAGCCAAGTTTGATGAACGCACGGATCTGTGTCAGATCAAACTTCGCTCTTTGACATGCGATTCTATTGTTCCGTAGATAGAAGCTCGAGAGGGGCAGATTCCCGTCTTAATCCCGGCAACGCAACAGAGGAGACGTACCGCGTCTCTCGCGATACGTTCGCAGTTGCAGTCTACATATCATCGCTGAAAGTACAAACGCTTGTTGCATGTGACGTGAGAGATCGATCGAATAATTATCGTCCTAGACCGGAAAATTTTTCGCCGTGTTAACACGATAACAATGCGAGAGGAACTTGACTTCCGTCGGTGGAATTTTTCATTGGAATGAAAGATATTAGAGCGCGTCATGGTAAGTGGTGGAAGTGTTAATAATGTCAAAGTGTGGTCGAGGGAGCTGCTTGAAAGACTCACTAGATCGTCGTGATAATCTTAACGGCTTCACCATTCAGATTTCCTCTGCTGTATAATTTCAACTAGCGACTTGGAGAAAGTTAATTAAGATTCACTTAATGTGAGATTTTCTTGAAATATTTACTCCAATCTATTTAAAATAGACAAAGATACATCAAAATTGCACAATGTAGCAATAGCTTACTACAAATTGAGATCTGCAATATTTTTGTACGTCTATAATAATTAATTGATTAGATAATTGATTCCTGTTAATTAAATAGTTAACAAAATTTATTAAGAAAATTTGAAGGTAAGACAAATAGTCGAAACCATTATTTAAGGAAGGACAAACAGAAGGATTAAAAAGATATCTATTTTACAATTTTTTAACGAAAGTTATTAACTTTATTCAATTTTGATCAATATTTTATAGAGGTACGTATTGTACATTAATGAATGTTATATAAAATTTTTAATTAGAAATATTAACAAACAACGTATTCATCGTAAATTTCATGCAGTTTATCTGAAACAAAAAACTTGTTTATCTGAAACAAAATTAATTTTGATAAAATGGAAGATTTCTAAATTTAAAAGATGCAATTTTTTGTTAAAAAATTGTAGAAAAAATTGATTGTAGAAAAAATTATGGCTCTAAAAAATTCTTACGACTAGATTTATTAATATGTTTCATGAATTTGTTGGATTTTTTATTTTATAAATTGTATGAAAGCTGTGATGACTATCGTAAATCGATATTATTAATACTAACAGTTGTCGGTACTATTTTTAATTAAAAATTTTACATAACACTCATCAATATACGTATAACATATCGATCAAAACTATTCGAATAAAATAAATAGCTTTAAAAAGAAATCATAAAAATAGACATCTTTGATCCTTCTGATAGTGTATATCTCCGCTAATAAGCGCTTATTGAATTACAGTAAATTATCTGAAGTCACGTCATTTGCATACAGACATACACTTAGTTCGCATCAAAGACAAGCATTTTACTCTAACATGGACCTTTGATTGTTTGAGCAAGTTCATGAATCGAGGAAGTTCGTGGCCGGCTTTTGAAACGTTAGAATCTCGCATGTGAAAATGACCAGGCGATTGGCTTCCCTTAGTTGGTATTCAGTTGATTCCTCTGCTCGAATATATAAGCGGGTATCGTTGTTGCTTACAAAGGAACGCGACTGGTGGTACTATTCGCACGAAATGTTCCGTTTTAAGTGGCGGTGTCGAGCGGGCCAAAGATAAACGGCTGCGACGAAGTGCGGAATCTCAAAGAGTCGAGGAGGAAATCTCGTTTCGGCGTTTGTAATCGAGTATTTAATGTCGATCTAATCGACGAAAAAATACATTGAGATTTAATTCAAATTTCTCGTCGAACGTGATTTAACATTTTTTAATTATACAATTAACGAAGTGATTATATAAAATGATACTCTTCTATTCTTATATTTTCTTATTTTAAGCATTCTTATTTATATTCTAAATTTTTATTTTATTTTCACGGAGATATTTTGTAATCGAATTTTGTCCATTTAAAGCCGTCCTGTCGCTCACCTCTCTAATTGAACTTTTCATAATAAGAGAGAGCTCAGTTTATATAAGCTGTGTAATTCTTTTGGTTATTATTTTGCTAGAATATTGAATACTATTTGCAGGTTATTTTGCTATCCGTTACAGTTAAATGATTTTATCCGGGATTATATATTACTGTCAATCTCAACTAACAAAACAACGTATTATTTCTATTTGATAATAGTGAGTGTATCTACCGTTAATTAGTTCTGTCATGCTTAATGATTGGCCTCGTTGATTCGCAATATCTATAATGCACGTTTAAACATGTGCAACAAAGCGTATTCCGCACGCGTTAATATCTCCCATGTCGCAACGAACGATAAATTCGGTCGGGCTTATTTACCGCCGGTGGTGATTAATTCTAGGGCGGATCGAAATTTGCTGAAATGGCAACAGAGCCTCATCCCCTCTTCCTCATCGTTCCGTTTTGTCATAAGTCAAAAAGTTACGACAACCCGCGCTACACGTTTATCATCGCTAACGGTTCTCGCAACTCATCGTACAGACGGATCACGTCACGACGTCATGCCGGGAGTTATAGTGTTTCCAACAGCAGTAGCAGAAGCAGCAATGTTCATCCCCCTCTCGACAAACAGATTCTCATCCAACGACTGTCATGCGCTCGGCCGAATTTTAAAGCGAGCTTACTCGCCGCTAGGTCAAACACGACGTAAGGTCGATCCTCGGTTTAACGTCATGCTGAAAGAACGCTTTCTAAAACACTTTCGGCGAATCTCGTACGTGCTCGAGAGAGCACAGCTAGCTCGATGATCGATAGTGCTCGCGCGTTCAGCGGCGTTTCCGTTCTTACGCTCTAATTCTACGCTAAAATGTTTCCGCTCCACGCAGTAGATTTTCGTTGCTATGCTCTTCGTAATTTCTTAAGTTAAAAGCACCGCGTACTACATAGTGTATAAGTCTTCGCATTATATTTTTCAACTGATTTCATCCTAATATATTTCCAAAATACGATTGATATAATAATGTTCGAAATAGTGAGAATAAAAGTAATACATGTAGATTGACATAACTTAGATAGAATCGATATTAAAGCCGAAATGTCGTTTTCATCATGTACATCGAATTGTTCTGCGCAGCATTTATATGAAATTTCCAATTCTGTTTTTAAAGAGCAATACTATTCTGTATATTGCTTTTTTACGCGATACAAAACGAGATGAATTCCGTACTTTGTCGTTCAATATGATTACTAGTATCATTGCCTCTTTACGTGAAATGCGTTTTTTTTTTTATTACAAACAATGACAAAATAAAGGTTTGATTTGTTTAAATCGCACCTGAGTGCAATTTGTCAATTCGCATTTACGTCTGAAAAATGATATACATGCATCACTTAACACATGCATATTACAGTTAAAACAAACTTGTAGTATTCTGTGATGTAAAAACAATCACATAAAAAAGCGTTAACAATCATAAAAATAAAATTTTTTATAAAATTTTTATAAATCTTGAAATTTTATACTTACAAAAAATTTTATTTATCAATCGTGCAAATAAAATTTTTTACAAGTGTAAAATCTCGAAAATTTTACATTTTATAAAAAATTGTATTTGCACGATTCATAAATGTAAAATCTTGAAATTTTATATCTATAAAAAAATTTATTTTGCGAGATTACTTTACACTATAGAATGCCACAAGCTGCGTAGGTGTCAAATAATGCGACGTTCACTGTGACGTGGGAGAGTATATAGGAACTTTCATAAAACCCTTATATATATATATATGCACATATATATGTGACACACACACACACACACACACACACACATATATATATATGTGACATATATATATATGTCACAGTAGTTGTACAACTCTTCTATTAGCGCGCGAAAGGTGCTTTTAATAGAGCACGAGATTAAGATATCGTATCGAAAACATCGGAAAATATTTTCGACGAACGATTGCGTTATCGACAACGCGGTCAGCTGTTAATCGAGCACCCGTCGCTCGCCGTTCCTTCGGATGAAGTATGGGACGTTCCTTTCCGTGTCTACTAGTCGACGATAAGTTC